ATGTAAGGGATCGTGACTCTTCTTGAAACTCGTTTGTTTGACATTTCTTTTTTTACAGCAAATAAATAAATAACCAATGAATACAAAGTTGACAAATCCTGTCAAGTTACACGATTGTTACGAAATACATCATCGTCTTATATTTTTCTTTTTCTGCTCACCCGATTTTCTCCTCTTTGTTGTTTCATACTACAAACGAATAACCATAATGGGAGGTATTAAAAGGCTCTTTTCTTCACTTTGGCAGTTTCAAACTTGTCCCAACAAGTACTGCCTACAGGCACTTAAGCACGCTCGGCTTGCCATTGTACATTTGTACCGCTTGAATATCGTGAATAAGTGCCGGCGGATCTTTAGCGGAAGTTAACGACGCAACGCGAGTTTTCGCTGGGGAGGGATCGTGGATATAATACAGCAACCGCGAAGAGCGGCACGGAGATTCTATGGGACGAATAAAAAGCTATTTTTCTCGTCCATTAAATTGAATCCAAACGACTGGGCGCTGCAAGCTTCCTTTTCGGCGTTTTTATTTTCAAAAGAAGCACGTAGTTTTTCCCTTGGCTCGTAGATGTATACGTATTAAACGACCTACGCGTGTAATGGGGCGATATCTGTCACTTTAACGAGGCTCCAGGGGTACTTTGCGGAGGCAACGTTTACCGCACATACAAAGAGAAAGACTCTGGCGTGGATGGAGTCCAACAGATGGAGAAACTTTGTCACGAGATAATAATTCAATCGATCTCCATCGTACCGAGACGACCGTAGTTTTCCAAGATTTTTATGCAGCGCAGGGATACCATGATATTGATGACAGCGAGAAAAAAATTATCCAAAGGATAGGTAAAGCCATTCCAGATCTATTGTGCCCACAAATTGTTTGGCTTGGGTTGAAAGCATATACATTTCCCACAAGAACCAACGAAAAACTAACGATCCAAACGTTTATCCTTCCAGCTTTTTTTATTTACCAACAAGGCTGTCTCATACAAAGTAAAAGTACGTCAACGTGTACGTCGTAATACACAGTGTGGTTTAACTCAATCACGCAGTTTTATTTTCATTTGTGAAATAAGTATGTATACCTGTATAATAAAGATGTTAAAGAAAAACGGTCATTTTTTTTAAATAACTGCAGAACTCAGCCAAATTTTTGTATTGAAACATCATGTAATTTTTACATAAATTGATGAAACTTTTTCATAGTAAATAATGGGTGTTGTCAAAAATCGTGTTTAAGGAGTGAAAAAACGTGCGAAAACCTTTCATGAGTTCATCTAAAATGTAAAGAGACCAATAATCAGCCTATAAAGACAAAATACAGCTGCTTTTCAAAATTGTTTTTTTTTTCTTTGCATTTAAAGTTGGCTATGCCGAACGGAATACATTCGATGATAATAATTCTCGTGTAAAATTCGTATGTCACACTAATTTCAAACTTTAAAACTATAATAATTACTCCGACAAAACCACCGTTTTTCAAGAGTATTCGAAAAATTCATCTCAAAAATCTACACTAACAAATCATGAGCAGATTCGCACCAACAATTTGCCGAGTTCAAGTTTAGAGCTACCATCATTTTCCAATGCTTTTCATCTTTAATCTCCTGGAGGGATATTTGTTAAAGCGACAAACATCAGTGTTATTCCAAGGTCTAATCATAGGAGTACGTACAACCCTTTACACTATTAACTTGGTAAATCAAAAAAGTCCACAACATCTTAGTAGAACAGTCATGAAACGTCTGTCGTGAAAATTCGTTAATTTTTTTTATCCTTATAATACGCAGTGATAGTTTAAAAAAAATTATAAGTTACGTTTTTTAGCTAAGAATTATACAGGTTCATGTTATACGAGACAAGAAAAACACGTTAGACGTTATACAAAATACAACATATTATTCAATTCGTAACATTATTACATTTAAAAAGGTACTTTTATATTTTTAAGGTTTTCTTAAAATATCAGACAATTGTAGTAAAAACTATGTTCTTCATACAAAACGATTTTTTTTCTTAGCTTTATATTAAATAAAGATTATTGTATTGTATTTTAATTAAGTACATATTATGCAAGATTTGAATTGGGGCCCTACCCATTCTTTAAAATAATGGCAAAAAATAACAAATAATTTTACACTAACTATATACTTCAACATTGTGATAGTTGTCACTGTTATGGGTACATACCTCTATAATAAATAACCTTAAAATTTTACTACGGTAAATAACATAAAACATGTACGATATCGTCAAAATTACTTATTTTACAGGACTATAAAAAAAAAAGTAAAAAAAAACTTTCGTGAGTTCATCCGAATTACAAAGGCCACAAGAAACCCCCTGGATTGCGGAATCAATAATGTATGCATCTGTGTATTATTCAATCAAAATTAGAGGTCTTCATCTGCCTGTGGGTGTATATTAGCTACTAAGTATTTAGAGTCTGCAGGCGTTGTTTTGCAAATTACATGTAATTAAACGAATTTCGGCAAGTCTGGAACTTCACAAAAACAACGGTAAGCCTTAGTACATTTTATTCGTCAGGGCGAAGATTTTGGCGGGCCAAAAGTTTTTGATACTGTGTCTTACCCTCGCCACTCGTTCAACCGCACGTCTGAACATGTGTATGTGTCTACTTTACGTATCCCCTGCTGGTGATACTATATACTGTTGTAGACATTTATTATTCAATTTCGTTTCCAACGTCAACGCGACTTGAGCACTATTTTAGGTTTGTTTGTCGGTGGTAGAGAAGTAAAGGAGGACAAATTACAGGTTTCGTTTGCGTCTACAACTTCTTCTATGTCGCGGTTTTTGCTAAAGTGTACACGATATGCACCCGTCACGTTGTACGATATACTTGGAGAATTTGCGTGAATTTTTGATTCCAGCTCGTTAAAGGCTGTAACTTTATGTGGTTTTTTTTTTTTTTTTTTTTTTATAGCAGTTTTAGCCTCATGAATACTTTGGAAGGCATAGCTATTGAGAACTGAATTCAATATTAGCCGTGTAAAGAATTGGCGTCCAAGCTATTTTCGTACTGAATTCTGGTAAAAGGGAACTGATATTCACGTCTGTACGACAAATTTATTCATCAACACCTATAAAACTTTTTATGAATTTCTTAGAGTGAGTACCCGATCGCTTGCTCTTGAGCGAAAAATTTTTCGTATTAAGGTGAAAAAAAAACTAGTCTTTTACCTGTTATAACAAATTTTTTTTTATAATTATCACTATTACCGCTTACAATCAATATCGTCATTACTTGTAACTTATCGTTTTGTTTTTATACAAATTTAGTTTTTTTCTTATATTCAGATTTTAACCTTTTCGAGTAAATAATTTCGATGAGGCTATTCCTAATATTAAAATATTATTTCATGGACAATTGTGTACTTATCAAACAGATAAGATAATAAAAAGTGAAAAGAACAGATTAGTCTCTGAAACACAAAATTATTATCAAGTCCTAAAAAAACCCATTATTGTATTGATGAGGAATAAAACATTATTTGACAGGCCAGCGTTGCCACTGCAATCGCTTTAACGCTATCTGATTGAACAAGAAGCACTACATTAAGTTCCGATTATTGTATCGTTGGCATTATTTCTTATTCCACTAATACTGACACTTTCGAAATCGTACAGATACTGTTGGCGTAGCCTACTCTGGCTGTAATATACGATTTATAACCGTTACAAATATTCAACTGTATAGCTCGCAAGAAATCGTGGGATATGAAAGTTATTGGAAAAACAATAAGTATACTCACATTAAATGGATATAAGTTGGTTTAATTTTAAAAAGGTTAAAAGAGTATTTTAAAATTAATTTCTAAATTATATAGGAATAACGCCAATTACTTTAGAAAGAGTTCAAAGAACACTGAATTCAAGGTAACAATCAGCTTGGATACCACAGCAACTATTTCATCTTACGACCAGAAATCTAGAAACAGAAGGTAAATTTTTCTTTGAACAATGAAAAAAAAGTATTTTTTAACATAAAACCTAAGTTTTGTTTCATGTTTAAAATATTAACGTCGCGAGAAGGGAGAGTGCTATCACAGATTAGTTTAACAAAAAAACGCTCGATAATATTATAATGTGTTATATTTTTTTTTTGAACTAACATCATTTAATTTTAACATTAAAAGTATTCCATGAATACTTCAATGTTATTGTCTATCTTTGTTTTCTAAAATACACTCTTGTAATTATTTAAAATAGCATTTTTTCCTTGCCACACCCAATATTATTTTTTCAAAAACACAATGTCATGGTATTTGACTCCAAACCATATTCGTACGAAAAAACAATATACACATTTTATAAATTATACCATACTTATATGTTTTTATTCGCAAATATAATAGTTTGTTAACTCTTCGACGTGTTAATAAATCCACGAAAAATATCATGAATTTGTGTTCTAAATTACAAAAAAAAAAATTTTCTTGACGTATACCCTCAAATAGACCCTCGAAATGGGGCTTCTTTTTGTCCCGATGTCATCTACTGCGAGGGTGAAATCTTAGACACGAGTTTCGATGGAGGTGACACTCTATTTTCGATTCTGTATGTTAACATGTTTTATGTATGTATACATAAAATTTTTGAATGTAAAACGAGAAGAAACAGTGTGACCTTCATTAAAAACCGTGTTCAAGATTTTTTCTTCACGGTAAATAATATTGGAAACAAAATAAGCTCCATGTAGAGGGTGTGCCATTAGAAAATTATTAAAAAAACGAAACAAATCTACGATATTTCTGTGTGTTTATTAATATATATATTCATAAAAGAAAAGTTTTGAATAAAATACTAAAAGTTACTCATTATCTTTGTCAAAAAGGAAAACATCATAATAGCCGCATCATCACATTCAAGCAGGAATATTTTCACTCAAAAACCATCAGCAATAACGACAACAAAGCTACTACGAAGTTAATAAAGTTGTAACAAGTGGAAATTTCTATAGCATATCACGCACGAATATGGCAGAAGGAGGCAATTTTGATTCTTGCGACGTATGTGTTAAGACTTGCAAGACAAATGATGCACTTGACAGGCACGGACGTGCTCACACGGATAATCAGGCCAACGTTTGTGGAGTAAGTCACAAAACTTTTGTTGAAAAATACTCTCTAATAGAGCATGAGCGGATCCATATGGGGGATGAATCCCGCGACTGCGAAGTGTATTCGAAAAGTTGTGCGCAAAACTCCACTTTTATAACGCATAAAAACACTCACACTGGTAATAAGCCCCACGTGTGTCAAGTGTGTTTGAAAAGTTTCGTTAAAAAATGTAATCTTATAATACACGAAAGAACTCACACGGGGGAGAAGCCCTATATCTGCGAAGTGTGTTCAGAAAGATTTTCTCGAAATTCTAATCTTATGAAGCACAAGAGGATTCACACGGATGATAAGTCCTACAAGTGCCAAGTGTGTTTACAAAGTTTTTCTCATAAACACTATCTTATTAGGCACAAGAAGACCCATGCGGGTGAGAAGCCCCACATCTGCCAGGTGTGTTTGAAAAGTTTCTTGCAAAAATCTGATCTTACGAAGCACAAGAAGTATCACTCAGGTGAGAAGCCTCACGCCTGCCAAGTGTGTTCTAAAAGGTTTGCTCAGAAATCATATCTTACACAGCATGAGCGGGTTCATACGAAAAACAGTCCCTACGAATGCCAAGTGTGTTCAAAAAGTTTTACTCTTCGAATCAACCTTATTAGGCACGAGAAGATTCACACGGGAGATGAGTTTTACATCTGCAAAGTGTGTTCGAAAAGCTTTACTCGAAAATTCACTCTTATAAGACACGAGAAGACTCACACGAATGAGAAGCCCTATGAGTGCCAAGTGTGTTTTAAAAAGTTTGTTCAGAAATCCAATCTAACACAGCACGAGCGGATTCATACAGGAGACATACCCTACGAGTGCCAAGTGTGTTCACAAACTTTTGCTCAAAAGTACCTTCTTATTAGGCACGAAAAAACTCACACGGGTGAAAAGCCCTATGTCTGTCAAGTGTGTTCGATGAGTTTCGTTCAAAAATCAGATCTTACGAGGCACGAGATGACTCACACGCGGGAGAAGCCCCATGTGTGCCAAGTGTGTTCGATGAGTTTCATTAAAAAATCAGATCTTACGAGGCACGAGAAAACTCACACGGGGGAGAAGCCCCACGTATGCCAAGTGTGTTCGCAAAGGTTTTCTCGGAAATATCATCTTAGGGAGCACAGGATGACTCACACGAATGAGAGGCCTCACACCTGCCAAGTGTGTTCGATGAGTTTCGTTCAAAAATCAGATCTTACGAGGCACGAGATGACTCACACGGGTGAGAGGCCCCACACCTGCCAAGTGTGTTCGATGAGTTTCGTTCAAAAATCAGATCTTACGAGGCACGAGATGACTCACACAGGAGATAAGCCCCATGCCTGCCAAGTGTGTTCTAAAAGGTTTGCTCAGAAATGTAATCTTAGGACACACGAGAAGACTCACATGGATGAGAGGCCCCACACCTGCCAAGTCTGTTCGCAAAGATTTGCTCAGAAATGTAATCTAAAGATACACGAGAGGACTCACACGGGGGAAAAGCCATACGTCTGCCAAGCGTGTTCGACAGGTTTCCGTCATAAATCAGATCTTACGAATCACGAAAGGACTCATACGGGTGAGAAGCCTCACGCCTGCAAAATGTGTTCTAAAAGTTTTGCTCGGAAATCAAATCTTATACAACATGAGCGAATGCATTTGGATGAGAAGCCCCATACCTGCCAAGTGTGTTCGATGAGTTTTGTTCAAAAATCAGATCTTACTAAGCACGAGAGAACCCACACAGGGGAGAAGCCATACATCTGCAAAGTATGTTCAAAAAGTTTTGCTCAATCATCTACTCTGTCGAATCATAAGAAGACTCACACAAAGGACAAGTCCTACGGTCGCAAACGATGTTCAACAAATTTTGCTCAAAAAATTAATGTGATGGCGGATGAGAAGACTCATTTAAATGATAATTTAAATCTTTTGACGCACGAAAGAACTCATATGGTAATTAAGCCCCACAATTTCCAAGTGTGTTTGCAAAGTTTTACCCAGAACTCTAATCTTAAAACGCACAAGAGGACTCACTCGAGGGATAAGCCTTACGTCTCCCAACTGTGTTCAAGTAGTTTTTCTCAAAATGATAGACCAACTGATCAGGAACATATTTACACCGACAATCTAATGGGTGCAAGTTCAGTGTTACCGTCATTTTCCAGTGCTTTCCACGTTAAATCTTCTGGAAGAAAATTCGTTAAAGCGACCAATGTCAGCGTTATTTCGAGGTTGAATCGTAAGAGTACATAATAGGCCTTTACGTCATTGATTACACAAATGAAATAGGCTCCACAGCTTTTTGTAGAACAGTAAAAATTATTGATTTAAGAATTCGTTATTTAAGGGGGTTGGTTTTTATATCTTATGAATACGTAGTAGTGATTAAAATTTTTTTTTTTTTTTAAATACTTAATGTTGTAATTTTGTTTTATTTACAATAACAGGTGTAGGGATTAAAAATTTGTGTGAATTTAAGTACAGAGGTAAAAATAAATAGACTATATTAACATTATTATGATATTCTGCGTATATACGAACTGCTTGAAAACTGCTTGAATATACAAAACTGTGTACATACGAGTACAAAATCAAGTACACTAATACGTAAAGTTAAATTTTAATATCTAATATTAAGCTATGGCATTCATTTTGACGAGTTAAAAATTTTTTTATCGAAGAAGATACAATGATGACACCAATATTTCCAATGCAATTATTTAAAAAGAATCAAACGTCTTTTAACGGTTTTTGTGTATCATAGCTTCGTGTACTTTGTTTAAATAAGTTTAATTGATAGACATTCTTTATTTGTATGCTTAGCACTTGTTTGCTAATATGTCTAACAAAAAAGTCTGATTCCACAAAAATAATTTTTTGTTGTTGAAACACTATTACCTTTCCACCTTCCACACATCTATCTCAGTGCAGCGTACATTAGCTCGAGCCTTACAATTTACCACACACCCAATTTGGTGTACGACCAGTACAAGGAATAAAGTGGTATAGGTATAGTGTCTCAGAAAGTATCTATGGCAGTGACAGCGGCTTCTTTTCTGTATTCGCTGATTAATTACAACCTCGACGATCCGAGGCTTGCATGTATGACGAGACGCGCGGGTGATTTACGATGGGAAATAAATCGAAGAAACCGATTCCACGATTCGTACGAACAAATAAGACAATGGACGACGAACACCCCGTCCTATTCGATAAAAGACTCTTTTCTTCTTTTCGATGAACTTTCGACTGAACGTTCGACACGTCGTCTTAGACTGCAAGTCGATCGCGCTGATGAAGATTATTCTCCACTGTCGGGGATTCCTCTCGCGTGTAGTTTCAATTCGATCCGACGAATAAATCATGGACGAATCGATGAGACGAGGCGTGGGCGAGCGGTTCCCTTTTGACAACACCAAAGCCCACGTGGCTCGTACGCTTTTTCATTACAATCCTTTATAAAATTTGTCTGTGAGCTTTTTTTATCTAAATTTGTTTGACCACTTTTAGTCCGGCCGGTATATCGTTTAAACACTGTGGGGCGTGAAAAACACCGACATAGTTATTTCTCCTCGACGACGAGTGTGGTCGCGTATTCATATCATAAAATTTTTAAAACATCTCATTGGGGGTCGAATGGAGGAAATTGAGGAAAAAAATCTTGGTTCATTTTTCACATCCCGCATGGATGTTGAAGTCATACATCAAAAGCGGTAATAAGCGTTTGTAATGTTAGCGAGGGCTGCTTGCGTAATTCAGTATATACCAAACATGTAAGCTTCGCATGCAATATTTTTTTTTCCATTCCTCGACAATGACACTTGCGAGACAATGGGCAGCGTGAAAACATCACATCCTGCGTCTCGTTCACGTGTATAGTACCCCGATGGGACATGAGAAGACGCGAAATCCTAAACGCATCCATTTAGCGTGCGAAGCGTTTAATTTTATTTCTCGAAAGAAAAAAAAAAAAAAAAAAAAGCCTAAACAATACCGTTGGTCGCTACTGACATTGCCAAGCGTGTGTACACCTAGTGTTTACCCGCGCAAGCTCCATTATGCCAGCGCAGCTGTGGATGTAAAACCCATTTTATTTTTCTTTTAGAGAGCGCTACCGACGTGACTCGGCGCACTTTTTTTCCCTCGATTACAGTGTTTTAGATAGAGAGGCACTCGACGACATGCGCATCTAATGCGGGGCTTTTAGCCGAGCGAAAAATACAAGAGGAGAGCCAGTAAGTAGGTACACGGGCATGCAATATTGCAAGCCAAAGAAGAGAGGGAGAGAGAAGGAAGCGGCGAATGGCGGTGCACCGGAAGTCGAGGGCGGAGGCCTCTCCTCCGCGGTTTGACAGAAAAACCGGAGGCGGTCGCTCCCGCGCGTCGTCCTCCTCCTCTCTCCCTTTGTATTCGCCTGCGTGTGCAGGACTTTTGTTGCAAAATGACTCCTTTTGACGGGCACGCAAAATTGGCCGAGTTTCGTTTTACAAGTGTATATTGTGCGAATGTGCGGTTTGCCAGAAGGGAGGATTTCTAGGGTAGGTAAAAAGAATGCGCGGGGGACGTGGGGGCGCATCCATGTATCTTCTTGAGACATTGTTGTCATTATTGCGTGAGCGGAACAACAACGTTACCGAGGCTTACTCGCTCGCTGTAGCTTTCCCTCGGAGGTGTACATATAATTATCCTAATTTCTTTTCTTTTCATTTTTTAGACTATCGTTATTTGGCGTTTCTAAATTCGAATTGGAGTGTTTAGCGCAGGACAATGTCACTCGGCACTTATATGGTCATTTTTTCAAGTTGATTCAATTACTTTTCGTTACATTTTAACACACTTTTTTTCAGAGGGGAAGGGAGAAGAGTAAAATTTATACTTTTTTTAAGCATTAAAGTACAAAGGTGTGCATCTTTTGGTGTTTCAACATGTAAATCACTAAAATATCACTTATGGTGAAATTATCATTCTTCAAAATTTATTTCAACTACATTTTTTAATTTTTTCTTTAGCATCAGAAAATTATTGATAATCAATTATATTTCAGGTACGACCAGCTCGAACCAATTCACACATCCCGCACAAATAAACATTCTAAAAATAATTTGATGAACAAAACACTGACCCAAATCATTATTCATACAAGTACAAACTTGGCAATTGATATCCTCAAAGAGCTGGCGTTTTTCCACTTCCTCTTTCTCTCGCACATAAAAAAGGTGAAAATTTTTTCAGAACCAACAACTCTCTCGCCAACATTGTATACGTCACACCCCCCTGCTCTTCTCGCTGCTCTTCCCTATCATGTCGTACGAACAAAACAGAGCCAGAGTACGCCGTCTAAAGCTACCAGCTCCTTCCTCGAAGCTCTATAATGTGGAATAAAAAAAATTCTAGGCTCGTTCCTCGCGCGCATACATTTATTGAAATTAGTTCGCGGAAAAATCTGCCGTGGCTGAATAACACAGAAAAAGTAGAAGCAGCAGCGCATCATATCGCAGGCTCTGGTACGATGAAAAAAAAAAAAAAAAAGGAGGGGGGAGGTTCGACCACACAGTAGCACACGGTGTATACACGTACCCAACCGGTAATGATGACTCTCGTAAAAGTATAGTAAGTAGACTGCGGATGGATTTTCTCTGTGCATCGCTCGGGAGCGCAACGGGGCGACCTCCTCCTCGTCTATTCGCGGAAAAAGGTGTCCCGCGGAGCGCGACCGCGGCGCTTGAACCGGAGGAAGTCGGTCCTCGTTTCGTGACGCAGTGATGGGAGGGCCACGCCTATTCGGCCGCCGCGCGCCGTGGGAAACAATGGAGGTGCTTGGCGACATTGCACTCGAGCTTGGAAATAAAAAAAAATTTTTTATGGTGCTTCGACTCTGATGGCTACTTTGCAAGATAATGCGCAGCTACTGTTTGCTTCGTGGATGCTTGTAGACCAGAGTTTTTTTTTTTTTTTTTATGGCGATGTTTGCGAAAACGAAGGCTTCGAGCGGAAAATTTTTAGACAAATTCAGAGTACGTCAATTATTGGATTTTGTTTGGAATTAATTGTTTGTGTTTTTCTCGAGTGAGTCAGGTTCGCGAAACATTTACCTGCAGCATAAAGAGAACAAAGTATACAGTGCAAACCCAAGTGTTTTAAAAATAATAATATATTCAAGAGTCCAATTTTTTTGTCTTTTACGTGTTTCAAACTGTGTATCCGATTACCCGTGAAAGACTTGCGTGTTTGATAAAATATTTCAAACTAAAAAGAACTTCGAGTATTGAAAAAGAAAAGATTCCAGTTTTTATTTATATTCCGTTCAAAAATAAATGTGTCTCTATTGTACCCATTATATGTGTCTCAGAGCAAAGCCAACCATTTTTTTCTTCTCAAACAAGGGTTTACTATAAATTTCAAACAAAAATGGCTACTAAAGTTTCATAAAACTCCCGATATTGTACATGAGTAGGCGGTCACTGTGACGAAAAAACTTACCCAAAGTGCCACAGCAACAACGTGCGCACGTATACCTCTCTTCACATAGTCCAAAAATCGCCAAAAGTACACCCGATTGTACATAAACAAAAAATCGGTACATGGAAAAATCGCTCGAAACAACGCGATCTCATTTAGAGGGTAAAATTACATTCAAGCACTCGTATATTATTATTATTATTATGCGTATAAGGTATACAAGTGAGCGAGCGTACGTACATCATCACGCGAGATAAGCGGCGGCGCGTACGTACAAGGTACTTTGCTAAAGCATAAAAAGAAGCCGCTCGAGTGAAATCGATGGCAATAACCACCGCCCCCCCTCCCCACCTCATCTTCAGTTATACCTACACTCCCTCGCGGCGAAGCAGAGAATAATCCTCATCCCTCAGCATCCCAGTGTGTACGTGTACGCATGCGCTAAGGTATATATTGGTATAGGCCGAGGTTTCCTTTTCTCGCTTCCTCGCGAGTTGATGTGCCTCCCCATGTACAAGCGGAGGTACGATAAACCCTATTGGCTATTGGTATATACACCTATACACGTGTATGTATAAATATACACAGTGGACAGTATACGTAACAGCATCCACGTATGATTACCTCCATCGAAGACAAGTATACATATATTACAAGCGTGCGTATCCTGCATGTATACATTTATATATACAAAGAGACCGCGAGGGGTTGCGAATATTTTCTTTCTTTCTCCCCCAGATTTCTTCAAAGGAGCCAAGCTCGCATGCATCGCGTGCAAAAGTGCATTATAATAG